ACTCTAGGTTCAACCTACAGGTCCACGCAGAAAGCCGGACACCATCCGTCCACGTGCCTTTCGGAATTACTTTTCCGCCTTCCCATCGTTTGTCGCGTCGTTGCTGTCTCGGAGCTTGGGGTCCGTGGCATGAATGGAAAATATCGTTGCACTTAGGGAACCATTTGCAGGTAAGATTCAGCTCATATGGATTTTGCTAGGACCACCTCGCACCTTCCCTGGTGGTCTAGTGGTTAGGATTCGGCGCTCTCACCGCCGCGGCCCGGGTTCGATTCCCGGTCAGGGAAAACAGCATTTTGGTCCCGAAACTTCGAGACACATCCACTGTTTTTTTTTTTTTTTAAATCCTCAGCAATGAGTCTTCGACGTGGTGGAAACCAATGCTTTCCAGCACTGTTTTGGATATTTAAGGAGCGTGCACGCGTGTGCGTGTGTACCCGTGTGTTTAAGGCTGATCTGTTCACCCCCGGGATTCAGCTAGAGGTGGACACCTCAGAGACGCTCTGCACTCGAGCTATCAGAAGGTCGCGGCTGCTTCGAGGTCGGATTGAGGACCCGATGGCTCCCAGTTTAAAGCTAGAACTGAGTTCAGGGCATGACAAATGCTGACGAGTCCCCGGCGGGTACGGAAGGGCCTCCCGGAGGATGCCTCCGCCCGTGCGGTCGGGACGCGTCGATCCCCAGGAATCCGGGAGAGCAGCTCCGGATCGCTTCTTAGGCAAAGCAGCTGGTCTGGCGCGGGACGGCTGCGGCTCCAGGACAGCCGGCGAGAAAGGCGGGCCTCGGGGTCTCCCGGGCGCACGCGCGCGCTCGGTCGCAGGGCGCAGAATCCCACCCGTCCCGGGAGGGGGGGATGCGTGCCGTCCCCATGGAACTTCCTCCCCGGATCCAGTTGCGTCTGTGTTTTCTGAAGAAGCACGGCTGAGCCTCGCATTTCTCGGAATCTTAGGATCTTGGCGAAGCTGGACCCCTTGTCGACCCTTCTGCAAGCCTGATGATGATGATGATGATGATGATGATGGATGATGATGATGATGATGATGATTTGCAGCTGTGGGAAACCTCCTCCCCCCCCTTCTCTCCATTCCCTTTATTATCTGGGGCTCCTACAGGAATCTCTGTCTTTCCCTCAGGAGAGAATCTAGGGGAGAGGGAAAGAGGTGGTCTGGTTTTGGGGTCCGTCCTGCTTCGGCCCAGTACATTAGAAGTCTACTTTTAACTTTAGGAGTCTGATCTTTTCTGACTCCAACCTTTACTCTTATTTCTTTCCTCAGTGCATTCCTGAATTCCTCCAAGCAGGCCTTTCTAGAACTACACTAAGTTGGCTTCCTTAGCTATATGACCCCAGCATTTCTATCGGGACACTTAGTTGTAATAATGTAATAAACATGTCCCCCTCCTGATCGTTCTGAGGTCCCCCTGTGGGCCTACAGACTGAACTGACACCCGCAGTCCTGCAGGGGTCAGTGTTTCTCCAGAATAGTCTCAATGGATTCCTGACCCCCACTTGTTGAGTCAAGTTCTCTCAACAAACAAAACACCGTCACTTTTCTGTTTGTTTGATTTCTTTTTCCTCCTCTTCGTTTGTCATACAAAAATGCAAACACTGGAGAGAAAAATCAGTCCCTGGAGGGATGCCCTTGATGAATCAAGATGAAGTTGACAAAGCACTGAGCCGATGAATACTTAGCAGGGGAGTGTGCTTGTTCTGCGTCCCTGTAGGTTCAAGTAGTTACAAAGCCGGCAGTCTCCCTGAAGCTCTGGGCCTCTTCCTTTAGAGATCTAGAACTGGTAATAAGCACAGAGTCCTAGAGGACAGGAGACTCCAGTTGGGAGTGGGGCAGATGGAGAGGGATAGAAAGAGGGAGAGGAGATGTGTAGAATCTTTGTGCCGTACATAGACGTTTTTAGCAGTTCTCCAGGTGATCAAGTTTGTTGCCTCTCCTCTCCCCTGCCCCTCTCCTGCCATCATAAAATGCCGCGATGATTCTATCTTTGAAATACTGATGTTTAGTTGGAAAAGGGAGCATCTGATGTTAGCAAAGGGAATAAATAAATGTAGTATGTGTTTGTCTAGATCCCCTCCCTCCCCATATACACACAGCAGTCAGAGACTCAAATTCACACAGGAGTTGAGAAAACAGGCTCTTGGCTCAGGATGTACCGAGGGGCAGGGAAAAGTGAGGTTTTAGCTTGAGGAAGAGTAGGGGTAACTATTTCTTGGGGAGGAGTCACTATTTTTTTTTTTTTTGTTAGTCATTATATTAATTTCCACAGGAAATACCGTTTGGAATTTGGTAAAAGCAACTAATTTTCTATTTGACTGGAAAGACTGCCAGCAACAGAAGCTGAAGAGCCACAAAAGATCAGATTTTTTTCTTAGTCCCCAGTGGGAGTTGGGTCAAATTACACCTTGCTTTGGGCTAGTGATACTCATAGCATTTTCGGCAACGCGAATAGTAACTTTTGAGCTTCCTTTTGTGCAATCTTCGATCACAATGTGCATAAAGGCCTTTTATGCAAAGTCGTTTAGTCTTAAAGGGTTAGATTTTCTTGACAGAAGGGAATCTTTTGACTCTAGAAGGAGCACTGCCACAAGAATTAAGAAGAGAAGCGCGGGAAGGACTTTATGTACCACCTTGTATTACAACAGGATTTAAACGATCTGAATTTGACAAATTGCTGTTTCAAAAAAGAATAGCCCTAGGCCTTGTGCTCCACCTTCGGGATGTATTTGAGTGAGCTGGAAAATTGAGCTGTCACAGAATTGCAGCTCCCACGAGACGTAACTCTGCAGCACAGACAAGCGGCCCGCACTACCACTTGGGGCTTTCAGTCTGTGCTTGCAGGTAGGAGTCCCAGATTTTAGGAGTTTCTTTCTGCACTATTTTTGTTTGGGTGAAAATTAGGACCCAGAATAAGAGTGTAAAGAAGCTGCAGTTGCCTATAGGGAAAGTATGGAGCAAGCCCACCCGCAGGCCCGCAGGGATGGTAGCGTGGCCGAGCGGTCTAAGGCGCTGGATTAAGGCTCCAGTCTCTTCGGGGGCGTGGGTTCGAATCCCACCGCTGCCAGGACTTTTAGCACTGAAAAGTTCCTGTCCTGCTTTATAAATCCTCACACCCTCCTTGTGAGACTCCGTATTCTTCTAAGAATCAGATAAATACTCTCATCCGGTTTTTGAGAGGCAAATATGATCCAGATGCTGTGTATACCAACAGATAAGGAATGCAGCTAAAATGCTTTCATGGGACATACTTCCTCGTTATGAATGAATGTCAGACCTCTGGAGTCTTAACTCAAGGTGGATCCTACCAATTCCTCCAAATGAATCATTTGTCTTCACAATGGGTGGCTGCCCTTCCCCCATCCTCTTCTTAGTGTGCTCATTTCATGCTTGTGGCCCTCCTTACATGGACTGGAAGAGACTTAAGCAGTGCCTTGCCTTTCTGGTAACTGAATCGACACTAACCAGCGCTTGGAGACCTGCACTTCTTGGCATCCACATCCCATGTGGGAATATCTGTGGACTTGGCGTCTGTGTTCTATTGTCTAAATCTTTCGTTCTTGGAAGGTGCTTCCTCCTGAAAGCCTTCCCTGATCTCTTTCTGTCTCTTCCACCTGTTCTAGAGTTACAACTAGGGAGGAGCCCTATGCAATTTAGAATTCAGCACAGTTCTCCTAGGGCTCCGGGGCATTGTTGTTTTCCTCCAAAATTGTTGTGTGTAGGTCTTGAATGATGACCCATACTTAGAAGCATGAAGAAACTAGAGAACACATGCATGATAACATAGTTCAGTCACTAATAGATGCCCAGTGATGGTTGAGGTCTATTTCCATGGGTTTGTATCTGTGTAAGTTGTGAAGGGTTTCTACACTGTTTTCACTGGACAACCAATTTTCAATGTTCTATAGGCCTGGACATCACCTGTGATTCTAACACCACTGAGAGGCAATGCACATCCTATATTTAGGGTTTCAACCCTGAGAATCTGAAGATATAGTTCAACATAAACTTAAAAAAACAACTGATTAGCATTGAAATCTAGTTTCTCCATATTGTGTTAGAATTGCTGAAATTCAGAGAAAAAAGGGAATTGGGGAAGGGCAGATTTAGAAATGATAGGTAATTTAAGTGTATACTGCTCAACCAATACTTTACACATGAAGGAACATGAAACCTGCTCACCTTAAGTTACAAATACTGCTGTATCTACCTGCATGATATGAATTCCTCTTTACTAGTAAGTTTATCTTTACAAGACTTTCTCTTATATCCATCCCTGTAGTTCTAGGAGGGAAATTCACCCTGAGAAAGTATAAAATTCTGAGTACCGATTGCTGAATTTTCCATTCATCTCTTCCATGTGAATTATCCTTAAAATTAACTTCAGGCAGTGGTGGCTGACATCTGTAATGCTAGCTGTTCAGAAGGCTGAGATATGAGGATTGATGTTTGAAACCAGCTGGGGCAGGAAAGTTCATGACTCTTATCTCCAATTAACAACAAAAAAGCTGGCAATGGAGCTGTGACTCAAGTGCTAGAGCACTAAAGACTTGAGCAAAAAGCTCAGGGACAGCACTTGGGCCCTGAGTTCAAGCCCTGGGACCAGCACAAAAACAAAGCAAACCTGGTGAATAGAAATAGTGTAGTCTTGAACTGAAATAGTGTAGGCTGTTCTAGCAAGTTATCTAATTTGAAGAGGGACACACCAATTTTACACACACACACACACACGACTCACCAAGTTATAGCTAGGCAGAAGTATCAGAAGACTGGGTCTTACCATTGGCATCTGAAGCTCTAGTATTTATTGTTATCAAGTGATTGGCAAACTATTGGGGTGAATGTGTTCGCTGAATAAGACAGGGCCAAGAAAGCATTTAATATCTAATATATGAAGGGGGACCAGTCTAAAACGTAGAAGGAAAAATGGAAAGAATATTACACTCAGGTATGTGTGGTGAAAACACTGATTCCTGAGAAGGGTTGGGGAAATGATCACTGGAGAGATTTTCCACTCTGATCAAGCTCATGTGTTCTCTGAACTCCATGTTTTCTTTTCTTATGTACACTAAGACTTGAGCTCACTCTGAAAGCTTTTCCACACTCCTTACACTTGTAAGGTTTCTCTCCGGTATGAACTCGCTTATGTCCAATGAGCGCTGAACACTGGCGGAACGCAGTGCCACACGCATCGCAGGTGTATGGCTTCTCGCCTGTGTGGATTCTTTGGTGCTGCCTCAGCACTGAACTATGATGAAAGGCCTTTCCACACACCTCACATTTGTAAGGTTTTTCCCCAGTGTGGATTCTGCGATGATTGGTCAAGTTTGACTTCCAGCTGAAAGCTTTGCTACACTCCAAGCACTTATAAGGTTTCTCTCCAGTGTGGATCCTTTGATGGATGGCAAGGCAGTGGGGGTCCTGGAATGTTTTCCCACAATCCCCACATGGATAGCGCTTTTCCCCTGTGTGTTTCCGCTCATGAGCCCTGCGCTTACTGTTATGGCGAAAGGCTTTCCCACACTGCTCACACTTGTAAGGTTTCTCTTTGCTGTGGATCTTGCTATGTCGGCTGAGCTCTGCCTTCGTACGGAAGGCTTTTCCACACTGAGGGCACCCAAAGTGTTTCTCCTGAGAGTGGATTCGTTTGTGTTTGCTTAGGTCTGAGCTCCGACAGAAGGCTTTCCCACATTGGTTACACTCATAAGGTTGCTCGCCGGTGTGGATTCTTGAGTGTTTGGTGAGATCTGAACTCCCACTAAAATCCTTCCCACACTTCTCACATTCATATGGCTTCTCTCCAATGTGGATTCTGCTGTGGATGGTAAAGGCATGCTTGAACTGGAAGGCCTTCCCGCAGTCATTGCATGTGTAAGGTTTCTTCCCAGTGTGGATCATCTGATGGATACTGAGATGGTTCCTGGTCTTGAAGGCTTTCCCACAATCCTGGCACTCATGGGGCTTCTCCCCACTGTGGGTTTTCTTATGTCGACAAAGAGCTGACCTGCTGTTAAGGCCTTCTCACACTGAGTGCAGCCGAAGGGTTTCTCCCCTGAGTGGATTATCTGGTGCATAGGACACTGCTTTCTGGTCTTGAATGCTTTCCCACACTCTGTACACACGTGAGGTTTCTCACCAGAATGTGTTCTTTCATGGAGGATTAGCTCTGAATGCCAGCTGAAGTTTTTGACACAGTGGGTACATTCATGACATTTTTGGGCTGTATGGATGTCATCATATGGAATACATTTAGAGTTTGGATTGAAGTTGTGCCTAAGTACCTTCTTGTTCTTTTGTTTCTTGAAGGTTAATTCCCCAGAGCCTTCTCTTTCTTTTCTCAATTTCTCTCTTCTGGGCACATCCCCTCGATTCTCTAGCTGGTCATCTTGTATACACACCCCTCTAGCTGCAAGATCTTCAGCAATAATGTTAAGAAGATTTTTGTCATGTTTTACGCAGCAGACTTCTTGGTTTTCAAAAATCTCTTGTTCTAAACTTGTCTTCTCCTTCTCAGGCCATGGCTTGTCAGTTGACACTTACATGAGAAAAGAAAAAAACGTCACATAATAAGTGAGAAGGGAGAAGTGATACAATATTGTGTGATGAGTAAATGACTTTAAAAAATATAATTTTAAGCCAGGTGCCAGTGGCTCATGCCTGTAATCTTAGCTAGCTAAGGAGGCAGAGATCTGAGGATCATGGTTCATGAGACTCTTATCACCAATAAACCACCAGAAAACTGGAAGTGGTGCTGTGGCTGAAGTGGTCGAGTGTTAGCCTTGAGCTGAAGAGCTGAGAGACAGCACCCAGGCCCAGAGTTCAAGCCCCAGGACTGACCCTCCCCCCAAAAAATCTATCTATCTATCTATAATTTTATTATTATTAAGGCGTTATACAAAGGAGTTACCCATTTCATAATTCAGGTAATATGTACAATTCTCTTTTGGACAATGTCAAGCTTCCTTTGCCTTCCCTCCTCCACATTTTCCATATCATGTATATTGAATACTGTGTGATTGAATTTGTTTACTCTTCCTCCCTTCCTTTCTGCCCCCACCCCCTTTGGCATGTAACATCCTGTCACCACTAGTTCTCAGTTTTAAGTGCTCAAGAGAGGGACATGAGCGGTGAGGAGAAGAGGGGGAAAGAGGAGAAGATGAGGAAGGAATATAGCCTACACAGAGTCAAAAATGGCTGCTTGAAAGGAAACTGCACTGACATTGAATCTGCACTGACATGTGTCCATGTTAGCAGGACAGGATGGCACACACCTCTAATCTCAACACTCAGGAAGCTGGGCCAGGAGGAGTGTGAGCATGAGTCTAGCCTGGGCTAGCAGGACCATATGAAAGAAGTGGGAAGCCCGGAGTGCAGAGCATAGTGTGCATAAATAATTACAGAAATAATGAGAAGTTTATAGAATTTTAAATGCTTAAAGTTGAATCTTAAATTTTTCAATACTTTAATTACTTTTCAAATATTTCTCCCTACTAAGTAGGCTATCCAGGTGAGTGATAGAGCTGTCAGAGGGGAGCAGACTTTTCTGAGATTTTGTTTTTGAGGGTAAATATGATACGAATTAGATAATGCCACAATAATTGTTACTGGATTCTTTTTCTCTAAGTATTCCTTAGTGGATTTCCTTCCTGGGACATTCAGGATGGGTGATCCACCACTAAATATATTCTATGATCATTCTGTCCCATGAAAGATGGCTGGGCACTGGAAGCTTCTCTGTCGCTTACCTGGACAGGTGCAGCTCAGGCACTCCTCATCCTGTGGATGCTGATTACAAGGCTTGGGTCTTTGCTCCAGATGGGAGATCAAAGGAGGTTTAGGAAACAGAAGTCCTGATAGCAGAAAAGGAGAAAGAATGAGTAGGCCACACAGAACTCTCTTAATGCCTTCAGTCTCTCATTTGCATATGAAGACAGGAGGGGAGGGTCCACTTAGGTAGAGAAGAGGGTTTATTCTGGGATCTGGGAACAGGTAGAAGGACACGTTTGAGGGACTTTCTTAGAAAAGCCATACTCAGGAAGGCCGAGAAGAACAGTCACATCTTGTTTTTAGGAAAATGGGATATCTGTACAGAAAGTTTTAGGTTGGTAGAAAGCAATTCCAACCAGGAGCTGAATATATATCATTTAAGAGAAATTTGGAGGGTTGAGGAAGAAAGAACCCAAGGAAAATAGAAGGTGAAAAAAGTAACTAGGATACTCAAAAAATTATTTGGTTATATAACAAGGGCAACTCAAATCTCTAATTTTGGGTAAGTTCCTGATGATGAAGAGGGCTATGACCTTCAATAGGAGACCCCATGTGTACCAGGAATATAGCCTTTTTTTTTTTTTTTTTAATAAAAGGAAGGGAGAAAGCTCTAAACCAAGTGCAAGGGAGGACCTTACCAAGGAATATCAATGTTGTCATAAATTTCCAACATCACATCTTTGTAAAGATCCTTTTGTGAGTAGGCCAGACTCTGCCACTCCTTGTTAGTGAAGTTCACAGCTACATCCTCAAATGTCATAGATTCCTGAAACAATATGTTCCTGCTGTTATGGAGAAAGTCCCATAGCTTCCTCTGGAAACAAAGGCAGTGGGCAGGTACTTTAGGAGTAGGCTTACAGAGGTGAAAGGCCTCTACACTTTGGTGGCTATTTGGAATTTTGATAATGAAAATGAACAACAAATAAAACTCTCCATAAGCAGTTTGTCATCCAATAAAATGTGCCTCACAAGAGGGACATTTGGGAGTGATACAGCCAGAGAATGCAGTAAAAATAAGCTCATATTTAGGAGGCAGTAATATATTTTCAGGAGAAATGCAAGGGCCTCAGCTCACTTGGTCCTGGTTCAACATGTCTGCTCCTGGCAGCTTTCCTTGACTTCTATCCTTAGTTAAGGCAGGATATGGAGGAATTTGTAGAGCTGAGGAAAGAAAAGTGAGTGGAGTCAGTTTAGAATGCCATTAATGAGAACTGCTCTCTTCTTTAACAGATGCAGATGAATCTGCAGCTCTCACCCATGGGTTCAGTCTACTGCTTATAGAATATCCACTACTCCTTCTCTGATCTTCGTTTTCAGTATCAGACCCCTGGCATGTCAGCCATGCCAACTGTAAGTGCATGAGTCTCTTCTCTCTTACGAAATGTTTTTCTCTGGACTGTTTTTGTTGTATAATAACCTATCTACAAACACATTCAGAAAAAAAATATCCAAATTTGACTCTTGGTTTTAAGATAATCATTCTTCCTATACTGGAATATAGAAATCATTCCCTCAAAAAGACTTGGGGAGAGGAAGCTTGGCAAAGCTTCATATGCCTGTAGTTCTACAGACAATTGGGAGATTGAGGCAGGAGGATTTTGAGTTCAAGGCCAGTCTTCGCTACATAGCAACTTCAAGACCATCATGGGTTAGATACTGAGACCCCTGTTACCAAGCAACCAAGCAAGCAATCAAAAAAAACCCAATGTTGAGGTCATTGGTCTGTGAGACTCTGGGGTCACCTTTGTGCCTCAGGATCCTTAAACTACCATTTGAGTTTAACCAAAACTTTAAGTTAGAAATAAACTGATTCTATTATTATTAACCATTAATTATTATTATTACTGTTTTCCAGACAGAGTCTCATTATGTAGCTGAGGCTCACTTTGAACTTGCTACTATTCCTGGTTGATTTTGAACTAGTAATTCTCTTCCTGGGATTATATGCACGCAACTCCATCCCCAGCACTCATAGTCATTTTTCTTTTTCTTTCCTTTTTTTTTTTGGGGGGGGGGGTCCAGTCGTGGGGCCTGAACTCTGGGCCAGGCACTGTCCCTCAGCTCTTCAGCTCAAGGCTAGCACTCTACCACTTGAGCCACAGCGCCACTTCCGGCTTTTTTCTTTTTGCGTATGTGGTGCTGAGGAATCGAACCCAGGGCCTCATGCATGCAAGGTAAGCACTCTACCACTAAGCCACCTTCCCAGCCCCTCATAGTCATTTTTAAGCTAAAGAAATTAAAGGTCTGTGTTCTCTCTCAAGTTACAAATAACTTGAAAGAAAGGCTCCATGTAAAACAATGACACATGAAACTATTTGTTCAAATGATATACAAGTATTTTCTTGGACGAGATTAATATATGTGTATGTTAGGTAACTGCTGACTTTCTGAACTTGCAAATGGGAGACTTCAAAGAGTTAAGAAAATGAAGGTGAGGAGAATCAATTCATAAGTATATTGATATATTTAAAAAAATGAAACACAATGAGTCCTCAAGTTTATTTTCCACTTCTAAATTTATAATAAATTTGTTCTATCCCATTGATATTCATTTGATCTGTTATATAGTAGAAATTTCAAGATTTCTCTTCTGAAAGGCTCAGCTATATACTTAGAAATATATACAAAAAAGGCTACTTTGGGGAGTCCTTAGTCTTCTACCAAAAAGATAGAAAAGCCTGATTTTTCTGGGCCTTTCTGGCCATACTGGCATTTGAACTGAGGGACTTACTCTTGCCAGGCAAATGCTCTGCCACCTGAGCCATGCCTGTCCCTGTTCCTGATTTTGACTCCCCAACTACTAAATATCATCTGCTAGGTCTCACTTCTATCCATGACTTTTATGCAAATCTTAACCACTTTCTTCTTCACATATGCCACCAAGAATACTTCTAAAGCTTGGCCTCTCATTAGTACATCTTCTGTCATTTTCCCCAGTGCTTCATGGGAAAGTCTTTGTTCCCTCTTTTACCATTTAGTCTTATTTTTCTCAAGTACTTGTATAATTTAAAAATTTAAGGGTTTCCAAAAACGTTTCCAGAAGTAATCTCTCTCTCCCTCTTTCTCTCTCTGACCCTCAAGAGCCCTCTATGTCCCTTTTCTAATCTCAGCTGTCTTGACATCTGTATGTCTCACCTTTATCCTCCAGTAGCTGGGTATTTGTGGCTATCCAAAGTAGCTTGCTTGATAGCCTTGGAGTCTCTTCTGAAAGCATGACCTATTGCAAGATGCAGAGTGAATTCCCTGATGGTGAAGAGATTAACTGGAAGGTGCAACCAACCCTAATTTTCTTCCAGAAATGCCAAAAGGGGAGAGAGAATGAGGGACTCTACCTGATTCACAGAAAATGCCTCCCAGAAATACCGAACATGGAGAGAAAATCGGGCTCCATACCTGATATACTTACCCAACTACTCTCTATATAACTTTAACGATCACCAAGTCAAGTAGGAAAACCAGTATCTGGAGTGAGCTCAAGTCCAGGCCCACCATCACTCCACGACTTTTATTCATGGACTCACTTTGTCTTCCTTCTTGTGATGTGTCACAGACTCTCCTCTTCCTGCTGCATCTTTTCACCCAGGTGACAAGATGATCACTTTGATCACTCTTGCTTTGTTCCTGTTGTTCAGCTCCAACTATCAAACAAGCAACGGTGTGGCTCCTGCTGTAGATGGCAGCCTCTCTCTGGGCTGCTCGTATTGGTGGCGCCAGACAAAAGGTCCTTGCTGACCCACAGGGAAGGTGCTATTTGGCTTGATACGTCAAACATGGACCTGGACTTGAGGTTTATCAGTAACATCACGTCAGGTGTGCTTTCACATTTTGGTTTTTCTGCACAATTGGAGAAACGAGGCATGAGACGACAGCGAAAAGCTCCGCAGAGGAACAGAAGAATCATCTATGGGAGATCAGGGAGCCCAAGAAAGACAAACGGAAGATGTAAATATGACTATACTACAATCTCTACTACCACCAAACGGGTTTGTCTTGATCGCTTTTGCTCGCCCCAAACATGTGTGTCTGCCTTAGTCAACACTGGATTAAGACCGGTGGGAGCGAATCAATCTATGAACGGATGCGGAAGGAAAAGGGTCAGGGGACCCCAGGAAGCAAGAATGGGAGGGGGTGGGTACAATGGGAGAGAGAAGCCCAGAGTGGAAGGGACTCCTTTTCAAATGCCGAGCCAGAGCACCGCGAGGCGCTCGCCAGCCACAGGGGGGACCCCAGGGAGGAGGGATCCAGGGGGTGCCAGGCGCCTGCACCCACCACCCAAGTAGCAGCGCAGGGCCGCCTGCCTACCCCCGACCCCGAGCTGCAGACGCAGTCCCACGCGGGCTGCCGCACACACCTTCTCCCAGGGACTTTGCACAGAAATGAGAAGAACCTCCACTTCCGAGTGCGCCAACCGCCGCTTCCTGCGACGTTTTAGGAACCGCCACGACTCTCTGCTTACGCACCAGACTGGGGCGCGGCGGTGGGGAGTGGTGGGAGGTGGTGGGGGGTAGGGGGTGGTGGAGGGTAGGGAGGTGGGGTGGTGGTGGTGAGGAGGGTCAGCTCCCAGGGGGTTGTGCCAGGGTTCAGGGAGCGTGGGAAGAATGCAGGTTTGCAGGAAGGTGGTCACAGTGATTCTTACTACCCTGGAGGGAAGGCTGGCCAGGAATGGACAGTTTTGAGCTAAATCTATGTCCTCAAGAATTAAAGGGAATAAATTCACTTAGCGAATTTTTAAGCCTGCTCCAATGTTGAGGCCTTTATGACAGGGAAGCGTATACACTTCCCACTTTCCCACATGATCTTACCCCTCAGATTGAAAACACAGTTTTGCCAAACGCGCTGCACGTATCCGTGTTCCTTGTTTCAGAATTTTAAAGCAACAATCCAACACCTTGTTTCAGTTAATCCCCTAAGCTTTCCTACAGACTCGCCAGGGCAAAACCCGAGGTGACAAATATTTTCTCTTTATTCAATATTTAATTTGCACATTAGTTTGGTTCTCTCTCTCATTCTCTCTCCCCCCCCTCCAGTTCAGATGCGAACTGCATCTGAACTGCCCAATATAAATAAATTATTGAATTAATATTTTAATTAAATTATTAAATTCTTGAATAGGTTAGGTCAACTGTGTGGGTCTGAATGTGTTCCACCTATTGGCTTTCGTTTTTCTTTTCTGTGCAGCAGGAAACATGTTTTTTGTTTTTTTCCCCCCATCAACCTTACCTCTGATGGTTTTATCCATTAATGCTCTTTGATCAAAACAACCAATCTATTAGGTGTTGTTAAATTGTGAGTTATCTATTTCAACAAGTTTTTCTACATTTTGAAAGCTAAAATTCCTCTGTAAAGCACTTTCTTTAAACCATTTTAATAATCTAGTCTAATTAGGATACATTTACTTACATTATTTGTTTTGGGCTAATTCCAGTGGCTTGTTAAGGATTTCTCCAAACATACTTGTACGTTAACCAGTGTTTCCATCCTCTTTATTTTCTATTCAAGCCAATCTGTTTCCCCAAACGTGGTAACAGCCCCAAATTAATCTGAACTATGTG